CGGTTCGAGTGATAAGGGTTAATTCAGTAGATTCAAATAAGACACTTTTTTTTTACCACTTCGGTACGACGCTCAATGGCCGCTCAAAGGCTAATTAATTTTACAATTTTATTGCGAAAAAGAAATTTATTGCTCTTATAGTTTTTCGAAAAACTGTGGCGATGCCAGCTTTATATTACCCTACAGTAAGAGCAAAACGTTATCAGCGATGCTGCCCTTTGCTAAAAGTGCAACTGTCCTTTTTCCTGTGTACACCGAGCAAAGAAATTAGCCCTCTGTAACCCAATTCTATTTTTCGCATCCATGAAAGATCTTCGGATATCAGACTTGCATTTTCCTGGTCTTGGACTTGTACTTTCCTGGTCTTAGACATGCACTTTCCTGGTCGTGGACTTGCATTTTCTTGGTCTTGGACTTGCACTTTCCTGGTCTTGGACTTGCACTTTCCTGGTCTTAGACTTGTATTTTCCTGGTCTTGGACTTGTATTTTCCTGGTCTTGGACTTGCATTTTCTTGGTCTTGGACTTGCACTTTCCTGGTCGTGGACTTGCATTTTCCTGATTTCAAGCATGCACTTTCCTGGTCTCAGGTTTGCATTTTCCTGGTCTCAGGCTTGCACTTTCCTGATCTTGGACATGCACTTTCCTGGTCTTAGACATGCACTTTCCTGGTCTTGGACTTGCATTTTCTTGGTCTTGGACTTGCATTTTCCTGGTCTTGGACTTGCATTTTCCTGGTCTCAAGCATGCACTTTCCTGATCTCAAGCATGCACTTTCCTGGTCTCAGGCTTGCACTTTCCTGATCTCAAGCGTGCACTTTCCTGGTCTCAGGCTTGCACTTTCCTGGTCTTGGACTTGCACTTTCCTGGTCTTGGACTTGTACATTCCTTGTCTTAGACTTGCACTTTCCGACCAAGACCAAGACCGATCTTGCTGGTCCCTGCTCATTAAATTATAAATTAAGAAGTAAAATATGATTCCGGTATTCCTTTTTTTTTCAGCTCATTTTTTCTCGACCGACCGATGAAAAGAACCGCTCGGAAAATGCTTCACTCGCTCTTTTTATAACCTCGCGTTAAAGGGTTAACGGGAATGTCTATTTGGGGATGACTTTTATTTCGGGCTTTTACGAGTGTGACTCGAGTCCGAGATATGCCAGCTGCTCATCGCTGTTTTCTTCTTCTTTTTTTTTTCCCTCTCTATCTCTCTCTCTCTTCTGAAAATGAACTCGATACCAGAATGTAGAACGTCTTGACGAATGCATCGGCCGCGCGTTACGAAATATTACGAAACGGCGAATATTTCTCCGCGTTCCGATTTGGTCGATGAAGGAATTCGCATCGGAGCCGCGGTTAGTAATCTCCCATCGATTATTGATAAGGAATCGGAGAATGGCGCCGACGCACCCTGGGACCTTCCAATGCAGTAGAATGCTGAAAATAATTATAATATAAAATAAATGTAAAATTTAAGGAATTTAAAAAACGGATAGCGTGGTTGAGTTAAGATGATATGAAAGACGCTGAGAAATTTAATCAAGGTCGATAAATTAAAATCTATCCGTACCCTTTTTGGTGGTAACGTCATTTTGAATACTCAAGGGTAACATAAACTGGCGCGTCCCGGTACCGACATTTATATTCATGTTGAACTCTTTTACAGTCTACGTTGAGAATTATACGAACTGAAGCGTTCCATATGTCATTTCGGTAAGGTAATGACGAAGAGATCAACGTAAAACTGTCGAAATCCCGGGAATTCATTATTCTAGCGACTGTTTAGGACCAACGTCGCCATCTGTGACGTTTAGTCGTAACTAAATTTTTGCTTTAGAGGCACGTGTTAGCCGCCAGACAAGCCAGCATTCTCTTGAAATCGTTGGGGAATATATTTCCCATATTTTCCCATCTGACTCTGTAATATTCCATTTCTACGGTATTCTAAATTGTTCGAGCCAGGTCCTGAAACTCTTCATTTCCGATTCTAAGCCCCCAAGAGGCGTAAAACATCGAAAACTTGCACGCCACGTTGGTTCCAGTCCATGATAAATAAATAAATTTTGGATGAAAAATGAAATTTCGTGACTTTCGGGACCTACTTTGGGGCCTCCATATTCCCGTGGGAAAATTTGAAATAAATCGGAGCACCCAATTCGGTGAATTTTTTCCTCGACGATTTGTCTTCTCAAATATATGATATATTTATCTCTGATATATGTAGACTGACTCTTTCATATCACCTTAAATTCAAATTTCGTATTTTGTGCATTCTACTGCATCCGAGGGTCCCAGGGTGCGACGGCACGGTGGCTGGCTCGGAATTCCACGTCGAAGTCGAGGATGCGAAATCCTTTGCTCGGGTTGCTCTTGGCATAGAGCTGGAGCACGCATTTCCCTCCGTATTATCGGCAGAATTCCATTTATGGGGAACCTGTCGCTTGCTCCGAGTCAGCACCATGAACGTAAGCTATATAAATCCCCATACCTTGATCCGACAGGGAAAATGGCAGAAATTAAAGAGAGAGAACGATAGGGTTGTTTTCTTGCTCCCCCTCTCTCTTTATACGGTTAAGAGAAATTTTGTAATTTTTTTAACGTTTTTCTTGAACGTTTCACTGGGACATGGTATACGAGTTTTATATCATTAAAGTGATATGAAATATATAGATACCAAAAAGTCAAAATATTTATAAAACTCTTCTGCAAATTGGGTGCACCGGATGATTTGAAAATTCATTACGAAGTTATGGAAGAACGCGAAGCTCGTGAAATTTCATTTTTCGAATAAACCTTTTCTTATTTAGGATAGAGTAGAATTAGAATCACATTTTTTTGTGAATAATGATATTTCACGATCATTGAGTTCTTCCTTAGGGCTTCCATAATCATATATTAAAGTTTCAAATGACTCGGTGCACCCAGTTTGGAGAAAAGTCTTATAAATATTTATACTTTAGACCTTGTATATTCTACTCGATTCGAATCAGGTCTTAAGGGATAGAAATAAAAGCAATAGAAGTATTTACCATTTTTAAGAACCAAAGTAGGACCTTGATTACATAAAAGATACTTTTCTCTTCGTATTACCTCAAGCCCCATTCAAAGCAAACAATTAAATTTTCCATGTAGGATCAAAATTTCTACTAGGATACCCTTCTCTATATCACTTCAAAATCAATTTAAGGCCGATACTTGTAATTCTAAGACCCGATTGTACCAACCATGATAATCCCGATAACCGTGGAAATTCTTAACTAGAATCAGTTAATCTCGGGTTAGTGAAATTCGCGGTTCTGCGGTAGAAATTAGGCTAACCGAAGATTAAAACCCGTGGTTAGATAACCCCCCGAAATTAATGAATTAAATCACGCTTTTTCAGTTATTATTAGGATAGGGTTAGAATGGTTCATTAATTAATTCAATCACGGCGATTAATTCTAATAACGCTTTGAGTAATCCCCGATTAAGGGATATTTTATCTTGAATGTTGATGCAACTGGAACAAAGTAGAGCCAAAATTTCAACTTTGGTGGAGAGAGACTGTTCTCTCACTTTTTCTCTTTTTTTTCGTGAATTATTTCTACGGCATCATATGGTGATAACCTATCTAAGAGTAAAAGAGAAAGAGGGAGGTTACCTCTCTTTCTTGTTCTCTTTTCGATGCACTATTTTTACAAGAATGTTAATAATATTAATTGAGTTTGCGCAATCCGTACAACCTATGTCCATGATTTTATCGGCGAAATTTCTATTTGAGAAGATTCTTCGCGTTAGCACGTTTCATGCAAATTCCGTATAATAAGGGGATAGTCCGATTCTCGGATTTCATCGAGGTCAGCTGTATAATCCATGGATTAATTTTTTTCATACATTAGCGGCTATACCGAAAAGCGCTTCTTTTGCTATCAGGAAGTCTCGTGGAATTAGTCTAGTTATGATCGTTACACCGATAAATGCAAAATGCAATTCCGTTCGATTTAGACTGATTAAGGTGATGTGAAAGTAGCGTCGAAGAGGTTTTGTTTATAAAACTTGTCTCCCAACTCGGTTTACCGAATAATTTGAAACTTAACAACGTGAATAGGGAGATTATAGGGAAGGTTCTGAAAGTCATGAAATTTCAATTCTTTTCAAATTTGTTTGTAGGTATTTTAAAAATAGTTTATAAAAAAAGAAATTCCGCGAGTTTCAGGACCTAACTTAGGGTCTCCATATTCACGTTTTAAAGTATGAAACGATTTGAGTCACCCAGTTCGGAGAAAAGTTTTATGAACCATTGAGCTTTCGGATGGCACTTTCACATCCCCTTAAGTATGCAGATTTCTAAAATACTCTATGTCGAGATGCCATTTCAGTGCGTATGAAATAATATTGAAGGCATGATTGAACGCAACAATTTTATGTTGACTCGGTGAAGTTTGTTAATGATTTAGTAACGTATACCAGAGGTTCATCAATCCCTAGGAGGTGGTCCATCTAACCCTATCCCCCGGGATAGATGGACTACCGAGTAAAAAAAAAAGAAAAAATCGTAACTTCAAGTGTGATTAGTGTAACAGCTGGAGAAGTGCTTACAATTGTTCAAGGTCATATATACATATTATAAAAAAATATACCAAATCCTAGACATTGCGAAATTTCAGAAAAAATGACTAAAAAAACATGGTCCAACTATCCCGTACTTACCCTAAATATAAAAAAAAAAAAAACGATCTACGAGGAGGTGATAACGCGACGACTGTCCCCAGATCCCGCGATAAAGGCGCGCGTCCGGCGACTGCTCTCGCCAGGGCACCCGGGCTGCGAGGAGCCGGAGCCGGGAGTAGGGGCGAGGCCCGGGCCCGAAGGCGTCGCCAGGGTCGGCTGCGAGGACAGGGACCGCAAGAGGCCCGGCTCGCCCGAGGTCGCCCTCGGCTCGCCCCAGTGCCCCACCGGCGCCGCGCACTACGCCGGGAAGAGTAACGGCTCCTACAGCGACGCGTCCGGCTCGTCCGAGCTGGAGGCGCTGCTGCCCCAGGCGGACAGCTTCAAGGAGGAGCAGCGCACCCAGTGGGAGCCCCTCTCCGGCGAGAAGTTCAATCGGCAGAAGAACGCACCCAGGTATCGTAGAAATCGTTACGTTTTTTTCCCCAGGCGCCGTGATCGTTATACAGGTGGCCCTCCTACACCAGGGCATCCTATAACACGGTTTCGCTCTAACACGATAAGAAAATTGCGAAAACCTTTGTACGACACTGCACTCCTGCAGCACTGGATAACGTGATTTTTGTTTAATTTATTTAAAAACTAAATTATCTTAAAATAATGACGGGAAGGAATAATAAACTATAGTGCCTTTATATGAAAATAATATTTCTTGTTTTGTTTTTTGGTTTTTTTCGTCTTGTGTTATACATACATTTATATTTTTAATAAAGAGTTGCTTATATGGAATTAAAGAAAATGTTTGTTTTTAATGGGTTTTCGAAACGTAATTCCCCCCTTTTTGTAATGGTTCTGACATGTGTGTCTCATGTAACACGGTTTCGTCCAACACGGCATTTTGTAGGAACCTATCTACCGTGTTATAGGAGGGTTACCTGTATAGGGTAAAGGGTAATTTACACGGTGTCAGTAGGTTTTAGTAAATCGTACGAGTCACTAAAATCGAGTATTACTCGTCTCGGGTAAACTGAGATTACAATCCTGGAGCGGAGTACTCGCCCAAGGGCCAATGAGAGTGGAGGGAATAGAAAGCAATCGAGAGGTGCGGTAGCGTTTTAGACAAGTACAATGGCGGACATGAATGCCTCCCCTGCAGATACGGCATCGCCTGTGCAGGATGGGAGGGCATTGATGTCTCCCAGTGTACAATGGCGGACATAAATGCCTCCCCTGCAGATACGGCATCGCCTGTGCAGGATGGGAGGGCATTGATGTCCCCCGATGTAGATGGGTCTCTGCTGAGCGCTACGTCTCTTTACTCCAAACATCGCAGTAATGGACATTTAACCCTTTACGATCGGCAAATTTCTCTAATGGGAGTCCCAGCTAATCGGAAGAAATTTAACACATGACGCAGATCTTCATGACCCAAAAAAATAATTTCCTCCACCATTTGAGGGATTAATTACATCATGCCGCCAGGCTGGCGGCACCGACTTCTACGACTTGCGAATGTCGCCACTGTGGCGGCAACGACCGCAAAGGGTTAATTTTCATTAAACAACCAGACAAGTACAATGGCGGACATGAATGCCTCCCCTGCAGATATGGCATCGCCTGTGCAGGGTGGGAGGGCATTGATGTCCCCCAATGTAGATGGGTCTCTGCTGAGCGCTACGTCTCTTTACTCCAAACATCGCTCTAATGGACATTTAACCCTTTGCGATCGGCCAATTTCTCTGATGGTAGTACCAGCTAGTCGGAAGAAATTTAACACATGACGCAGATCTTTATTACCCAAAAAAATAATTTCCTCCATCTTTTGAGGGATTAATTACATCATGCTGCCAGGCTGGCGGCAACGACCGCGAAGGGTTAATTTTCATTAAACGACCAGTGATGATATTACAAGATGATATATACTTTTTAGCATACATTGGCGGCTTCGTTAATTTTTCCTCATTCGTTTGAGACCGAAAACATTGTAATCGACGAAAGCATTCATGAGTTATGTCGAATTAAAATTTTACTATTTCCTGGCGCGAGGTGTAATCTCCACCACGTGTTTTACTCCACTGTCATGTATCCCAGACACGTGTAGACGCGTTTTTCGAGGGCAGTGGACAAGTTCCAAGAGCAAATTGAAGCATTTTTGTGCAATTTTGGATTGAAATGGCCCAAAGGTGGATAGAAGACCCCACGTTGACATTTGTTGAATTGTATCGAAGGGAAGAATACCTCTAGAATTCGAAACTAGAACAGGACAAGAATAGAGAATAAAGAATAGAGTACAGCTCTTTATCCAGCACGTCCAAATACAGTTTAATCGTTTTATTCGTAAAATGTTTAAAATTACGTCGCCCCTTCGACATTTTTGGGGTATACCACGTGACTTTCTGTTTCCTACTATGCAAGTACTAGAAGGCTGGGTAAACGCTCCTATCTTGTAAAGCACTCGCTTTTAGTGACTCCTACGAGTTACTGGCACCGTGTAAATTCGCCTTAAAGTTGGGTACACATTTCAACACGCACAAGTAAGGCGAGGCACTCGCAATTGAAACGGTTAAAAATTAACATTGACCGACCGTTTCGTTTCTCCGAGGATTTCTCTGAGATTCGTCGAAAGCCGGCTTTCGCTTAAATGAAAATGAATTTTCCCTTGGCGACTTTCTTTCTAAAAAAAAAAAAAAAAACGCGTTGAAAATCCCCGTATAACCCTCGGTTCGAGATTTTGGAAAATTTGGTCCGGTTCCAGGTTCGAGGCGTACACGATGACCGGGGACCTGATGCTGAACCTCTCTCGCACGCAGCAGAGCACCGGCCTCCTGCCCAAATATCAGAAAAAGGTGGACTCGTTGAGGTACAACAATCACCACACACACCATCACCATAATCACCACAATCACCACCATCACAACTCGGTACCCACCAGTCCTAACGAAATGCTGGGCCACAACCGGGCCGGGCACAAGGGCTCGACCAGCGCGAGCACCTCGCCGGTGGGCATCGGCAGGGCGGCCCTGGCCCAGGGTGCCTCGGCGGAGGCCAAGGCCAGCGCGGCCTTCGGCTACCCGGGCGGCTTCGTCAGGACCTCGCGGTCGGAGGACCACCTGCAGTTCCAAAAGGACCCGTCGATGAGCGCGGTGGACATCGACATCGACGACGACGTGACGTCGAGCCTGAACACGCTGCTGGACCCGCGGCCGGGCCAGGGCCAGGGCCAGGGCCAGGGGGTGGTGTCCGCCGAGCGCATCGTCTGGACGTACAACGCCCCCCCGGGGGGCGGCTCGCCCTCGGCCTCCCGTTCCTCCAGCAGCTCCTCGACCGAGGGCTCCAGCCCGCAGCGCTCCCTGTCCCCGGCCTCGCCCACCTCGGTGTCTTCGTCCGTCATGTCCTCCAACTCTGGCTCCCGCAGGTTCCCCCCGCCGACCGCGACGGGCCCGGCCGGGGACGGCTGCTGCTCGGTCTCCGTCTCCGTCCCCCCGGCCGCCCCCGCCCCCGGCCACGGCCACCCACCCAACGGCGACCTCAGCCAGTCCGAGGCGATCAGCAACATGTCCAGCCCCGACTACAACGACGAGGAGACCATGGACATTCTCAGTGCGCGCGACGTCATGATGGTTAGTGACCCCAGTGACAGTGACTCCACGATACTGGCCAGTGAACCGCCCCAGAGGAGACTCAAGCCCGGCCCGGGCCAGGACTCGGCCGAGCACCGCATAGTGATCCAAGTGAAGGGCCCCGACAAGGAGCCCTCGTCGCGCAACTCCCAGGGCAGCCCCCGGCAGACCCGCCGGCGCGCCAGCGCCGACGCCCAGCGCCCCGACCTGCTGCCTGCCCCGACGGTCCCCGCCCAGGCACAACCCGACTACGGCTACCAGGTACGCGCCACTTCCGCGGGGATGGCCCTCGCGTCCAGCGGAACGGGCTTAACGTCATTCTGCAAAGACCTTGTCTTAGGCTAGGGTCGATCGGCAAACGGAGATGCGCGTTGCTCGTGGGGATGGTCGCGGACGCGAGGGCCTTCGCCACTTCTGTGGGGAAGGCCCTTGCAGTTCTGCGACGGATGTTGCAACGAGCTACCCTTAAACCGGGGTCGATCGGTCGAAATGATGAACGTTGGACTGTAACAACGACGACGCGCGTTGCTTCTGGGGACGGTGGCGCACGCGAGTGCCTTCTCTTGCTGGCGACGCCATTTCTGTAGGGATGGCATTTTCGTGCGTCTGGGTACAACGGGACGGGTATCGATGTACTTCCACGACGGATGTTGCAACGAGCTATCCTTAGACCGTGGTCGATCGGTCGAAACGACGAACATTGGACTGTAACAACGGCGACACGCGTTGCTTCTGGGTACGATGGCGCACGCGAGTGCCTTCTCTTGCTGGCGACGCCATTTCTGTAGAAAAGGCATTTTCGTGCGTCTGGGTATAACGGAACGGGTATCGATGTACTTCCACGACGGAGGTTGCAACGAGCTATCCTTAAACCGTGATCGATCGGTCGAAACGACGAACATTGGACTGGAACAACGGCGACACGCGTTGCTCCTGGGTACGATGGCGCACGCGAGTGCCTTCTCTTGCTGGCGACGCCATTTCTGTAGGGAAGGCATTTTCGTGCGTCTGGGTACAACGGAACGGGTATCGATGTACTTCCACGACGGACGTTGCAACGAGCTATCCTTAGACCGGGGTTGGACTGTAACAACGGCGACGCGCGTTGCTCCTGGGGACGGTGGCGCCCGCGAGTGCCTTCTCTTGCTGGCGACGCCATTTCTCTAGAGAAGGCATTTTCGTGCGTCTGGGTATAACGGAACGGGTATCGATGTACTTCCACGACGGACGTTGCAACGAGCTATCCTTAAACCGTGGTCGATCGGTCGAAACGACGAACATTGGACTGGAACAACGGTGACGCGCGTTGCTCCTGGGGACGGTGGCGCGCGCGAGTTCCTTCTCTTGCTGGCGACGCCATTTCTGTAGGGAAGGCATTTTCGGTCATCTGGGTACACCGGAACGGGTATCATAAAACTTTTCCCTGAAGTGGGTGTCTCAAATCGTTTCATACTTTAAAACGTGAACATGGAGACCCTAAGGTAGGTCCTCAAACTCGGGAAATTTCATTTTTTGTAAACTATTTGTAATATACCTATAAACAAATTTGAAATGAATAGAAATTTCATGAGTTTCAGGACCTTCCTTATAGTCTCCCTATTAACGTGGAAAGTTTCAAGCTATTCGGTAAATCGAATTGGGAGAAAAGTTTTATAAAGAAAACCTCTTCGACGCCACTTTCACATCACCTTAATATTTTTATTCCGCTACTTAAGGCAACGCGAGAGTGGCGTCAAAAAAGTATCTCGTTTACAAAACCGTTCTCCAGACTGGATGTACCGAATCGTTTTAAACTTTACAGAGTGAATACAGAGGCTATAAGAAAGATTCTGACATCCATGAAATTTCAATTTTTTTTTTTAATCTATATAAAAAATCTCGAAATTTCATGAATGGAAGGGCCTTGCTTGTAGCCTCTATATTTACGTTGTAAAGCTTGAAAAGGCTCGGTATACCCGGTTCGGAAAGAAATTCCATTTTGACTCCTTAGATGCCACTTCCACATATCCTCTTAAACTTGTACTCGTGCCTCACATTTAATATCAAAATACATCTGTCAGCCATTTAAAATGTACAGACAAAGGACACGTTTTTACATGAAATGTGAGGTACCAGTTCGGATGTAAATGACGGTACATTTTTTTTATGCAAGCAAAAATTTCGACCCCGTGGTGTCGGTTCATCCCTACTAGACGTCTTCGGTATCGCTCATTCAATTTCTTTCCTCGACAGGAACTGAAGGACAGCGAGGACGAGAAGGACCTTGCCTTCCTTCAGGGCTACGAGGACCAGAGGCAGGCTGGTGCCTCACCCCCGCAATCCGCCGACGAGGAGAGCGACATCGAGAGTCTGCACAGCTTCCATTACAGCCCCAAGGCCGTCGACCTACCTTCCGCCGTCAGGCTAGCCAAGAGACTATACTCCCTCGACGGGTTCAAGAAGTCCGACGTATCTAGGCACCTTAGTAAAAAGTGAGCTCCCGATTTTGCCAAATCCCTATTCCTTGTCGCGATTCCTCCTCTAATCGGACCTCCTTCTTCCAGCAACGACTTCAGCAGGGCCGTGGCCGAGGAGTACTTGAGGTACTTCAACTTCGAACGGGACACGCTGGACGTGGCTCTCAGAAAGTTCCTTGCACAGTTCTCATTGACCGGGGAAACTCAGGAGAGGGAGCGAGTCCTTGTACATTTCTCTAAGCGTTATCTCGACTGCAACCCCGGCACCTTTAACTCCCAAGGTAGGAGACAAGGTGGGACCGTATGGAGAGGTTGGTCACTTGGGAATCTGTGAACAGGATTTCCTTCTTTGAGAGCCGTCTGTCTTTGACTTCGTATGAGAAACGGCTACGTGATTTGGTAACAAGTTGCGATTGGCTGTAAAATTGTCACCATGAAATAGTATGAGATGCAATGACTAATATGGATCGTAACCACCTTTCTCTGGTCCCAGAAACGGGCCCAGGATCTCAGATTTTCGCTGATCTAACGATGCGAGCGCCACATGCGGAAAATCAGGGAACTCCGATCCTGCGTCACCGAAACATTTCCTATCGACGTAAATTACCTAAAATGCTATTCATTTTGCAATTAAGGTACACAAAGCAAAACGGTAATCCGCGGATGATATACAGAATGTGATATTTTAACGCGATAATGACTAACAGACGAGAATTTTTAATTGCAAAATTTCATCGAGGTGGCGCTCTCGGCCCTAGATCAGAAAAATCTGAAGATCTAGAACCCCTAAAGTAGGGATGATTTCAATACATGTCGTTGGATCCCTTTATGCTACTTCGGGCCATTTCATGGTTTGGCTGAACGTTCAAAGTCTCACACGTCTCTCATACGTTTTGTTCACGTTTGACCCGATTGACATACCACGTCTCTCATACATTTTGGTCACGTTTGACCCGATTGACATACCACGTCTCTCATACGTTTTGGTCACGTTTGGCCCGATTGACATACCACGTCTCTCACACGATATTGTAAGTGAAGGGGTTAATCTTCACCGTAGATGCCGTTCACACCTTGACCTGCGCCATAATGCTGCTCAACACCGACCTCCACGGTCAGAACATCGGCAGGAAGATGACGTGCTCCGAGTTCATTGAGAACCTGTCAGAACTGAACGACGGCGACAATTTTCCCAGAGAGGTGCTCAAGCAGCTTTACAACGCCATCAAGTCGTTCCCCCTGGAGTGGGCATTGTGAGTACAATTTCAAGGGAGTCGGAGCGACGTTTGCCATTCCTCGGCAATAATTAGGGGAACGCGGAAGATCGGGGTGTTTCCCTCCTCTGTGTCGTTGCTCGCACGTAATTATTTAACACATTCGCGACCGGTAAATTTTTTCCGTTTCAAATACTGAGTACCGGCGAAAATAATGAAATTCGAAATTTCTTCGTAATCATGTACTGCAGTTTCAAATGATTCGGTGCACTCAGTTTGGAGAAACGTTTGTCACCTTAAGGTGATATGAAAGGGTCATTATATATGTGTAGAATGACCCTTTCATATCACCTTAAGCTGTCTCACTCAGTTTGGAGAAAAGTTTGTCACCTTAAGGTGATATGAAAGGGTCATTATATATATATATATATAGAATGACCCTTTCATATCACCTTAAGCGGACGAGCTGGAAGCAAGAGACACGCTCTACATCGACTTGGTTCATTTCAGGGACGAAGAGGGAGACGAAACCGCGTCCCAGGTGATCCAGCAAGGCGACGGCCAGACTTTGTCGGGCACCGGCAATCCCTTTCTCGACGTGCCAAACATTACGGGTGCTACCGAATTCAAGAAGGGCTACGTCATGCGCAAGTGCTGCTACGACGCTAACGGCAAGAAAAGTAGGTTGCCGAAAGGGCCCATAAAGGCGCTTCCCTTTCTTGGATCTTTCGCGCTACTAGTTCGCCTTCTCTCTCTTTTTCTCTCTATCTCACGGCCTTCTAATTATCTTACAGCGCCGTTCGGCAAGCGGGGTTGGAAGATGTATTATTGTACGCTGCGAGAGCTCGTTTTGTACTTGCACAAAGACGAACATGGCTTCCGTAACGACTGTTTGCACTATGTCATACGCATTCATCACGCACTCGCGACCAAAGCGGCTGACTACACAAAGAAGCAACACGTATTCAGGTTACAGACTGCCGATCAAGCGGAGTATCTCTTTCAGACGAGGTAAGTGTTTTTCTTTTTCCTTTTTTTCCATGTCTAGTCACTTTTACTTCGTCCCCCGGAAACGAACGCCCACGCGAGCGTTTGTCTTTTGCCGCCTGGAGGTTCGCTTTTTCAACCGAAACTTCTTATCGGACCTCTAGTAGGTGTTATGTTCACGCGTTACGAAAGGAACCCGATTTGCAAAGTGAAACGCCATTTTCTTTTCCTTTTCTTTTTCAGCACAAATCCTATTTACGTTCTTTGTGTTTTAGTATTAACCCTTTGCGCTCCGGATTTCCGCAATCGCTTCATAAACGTCGAGTCACACTCGACATAGGAGTGCAAAGGGTTAAGGTGATGTGAAAGTCGCGTCAGAGTTCTCGTTCATGAAACTTTTCTCCGTACTGGGTATATCGAATTGTTCTGAACTCTGCAATATGAATATGGAGGCTTAAGGTAGGTCCTGGCACCCCTGGAATTTCCATTGTTTGTTAATTTGTCGATAGATATTTCCGAAATTTTGTATAAAAAATGAAATTTCATGAGTTTCAAGACCTACTTTAGGGCCTCCACATTCCCGTGGTAAAATTTGAAACTAATCGGTACACCCAATTCGGAGTATACTTTCCCCAACGATTTGACCTCCCAGATACATGTAGGCTGACTCTTTCATATCACCTTAACGATGAAATTCCGAGTACCAGATGAGAAATAGTTTTCTTTTTTCTTTTCAGTGATTCCAAAGAGCTGCAGTCCTGGATCGACACCATCAACTTTGTCTGCGCCAGTTTCTCTTGCCAGCCGCTCGCGGGCGCGGTAGGTTCCCAACGAAAGTTTCAAAGGCCTTTGCTTCCATGTAGCCACACCAAGTTGTCTCCTGTAAGTAACGCCGTTTCCCTACGAAGCGATCGTACACGCTAGCACTCTCATAGCCCCTCCCGACGTTTGTATTCCGTTCTGCACGATTCTTTGTTCGCAAGCTTTCTCCCGTACGTTTAACGTGGCAGAGCCTCCTTCTACGAGTTAGCATCACCGAAAGGAAGTAATCTCCTCGCCGATACACGCGCGCAATGCTGTACCGCTCTTTGAGAATCTAGAGTAGAGTTACTCGCGGTGTATCGAGTGCATGTAGTAAAAACGAGCTCGCCTCTTTAGCCGCGGTTGATGCCGGCATCCACGCTCTGTTTCGCCGACGAGCCCGAGGGTGATGCGTGTCTAAAAAGTGAATTATTCCCTTTTCTTTTATTCGCATACCTCACCAGAGAGAGCAATTACGTGACCACGAGGAGAGGGTCAGCAGGTTGGAGGCTGAACTGGACGAGCACAGGAGGCATCCACCCGAACGAGGTGCTAAGGCCCTCACCATACAAAACTACAAGGAAAAGGACGCCTACCTTCACTACGAGGTGATAAACTCAGTTCCTGGGATCTGACTTTAATTTTATAACCCCTTTATATATTTAGGCACGGACTCGTTCCTAACCATCAACGTTAGAAGACGCGTTTCGGCTATTTAAAGGCTACGGATGAAATACGTCTATTAGTCGTTTATAGACTAATACTGCGAGTTTCTCGCTCAAATGTATATGGCTCAAAGCTCTACCGAGTTTCTTAGAGGTTTAATAAATGAAACATGTCGTTTAACGATGAAAATGAGGTACGGGTACGGATCATTGCGCCCAAAAATCCATTACATCTGTGGGGAAACAATGAAACACTGCACTAGGCTATTTAAAGGCTACGGATGAAATACGTCTATTAGCCGTTTATAGACTAATACTGCGAGTTTCTCGCTCAAATATATATGGCTCAAAGCTCTACTGAGTTTCTTAGAGGTTTAATAAATGAAACATGTCGTTTAACGATGAAAATGAGGTACGGGTACGGATCATTGCGCCCAAAAGTCCATTATATCTATGGGGAAACAATGAAACACTGCACTAGGCTATTTAAGGGCTACGGATGAAATACGTCTATTAGCCGTTTACAGACTAATACTGCGAGTTTCTCGCTCAAATGTATATGGCTCGAAGCTCTACCGAGTTTCTTAGAGATTTGATAAGTGAAATATGTCTTTTAACGATAAAAATGAGGTATGACTACGAATCCTGCCTACGGAGAACCAACATGGCGAGGTCCGTGAACGTTTTCGATGTTTTACGTCTCTTGGAGGCTTAGAATCAAAAATTAAGAGTTTCTGGACCTAGCTCGAACAATTTAGAATACCGTAGAAATGGAATATTACGGAATCAGATGGGAAAATGTGTTAAATACTTTCACCAACGATTGCAAGAGAACGCTGGCTTGTCTCGGGGCTAACACGTGCCTCTACAGTAAAAATTTAGTTACGGCTAAACGTCACAGATGGCGACGTTGGTCCTAAACAGTCGTTAGAATAATGAATTCCCGGGATTTCGACAGTTTCACGTCGATCTCTTCGTCATTACCTTACCGAAATGACATATGGAACGCTTCAGTTCGTATAATTCTCAACGTAGACCGTAAAAGCTTTTAACATAAATATAAATGCAGGTAATGGGACGCGCCAGTTTATGTTACCACTTGAGTATTCAAAACGGCATTCCCACCAAAAAGGATGCAGATGAATTTTACTTTATCGACGTCGCTTAAATTTCTTAGCGCCTTTCATATCCCCTTAAGGGGGCTCTCGCTTCACCTTAAAACAATTCCAACTACGCGTATGCTGTTTTGATGATGTTTAATATAACTACATTTTAAAATTTCCTCTTCATGTGTTTCAGCTGAAGAGGTACAAGACTTACGCGTACCTGCTGCGTTCGAGGCTCGCCTTTACGGAAGTGGAACCTTCCCTGGTCGAAAGCAGCATAGGAGAGGTCGACGAAGGTAGTGCGACGCCGACGAACGCGGAGGTCGCCCTGGTGCCACCTCCGGTACCAGACCGGCCTGCGACAAATAGGTACAGTTACAGGGCTGCCATTTACAACCGTAACCTCCTGAACGGCCAGGACTATGGCGGGGACATTGGTTGACGTGTGATGGGTGTCTTTTCAGCATGTGTGGTCTAGTCTGACCTGCATACGTAGGCAGAGGCATCAGCTGAGATTCGGAAGAGAGAGAGAAAGTGAGATAGAGTGAAAGATATATAGATAGAAAGAGAGAGAGTGAAAATAACGGACTCTACGTAACACTCGCCAAATATTATATATCATATTTGTAATCTCGTATCGATGCAATTTTTTCATACCGATGAACGACTCGCTCGCGATATTCCCACGAATAGCCAAAGATATTTCAGAGTAGCGCTTTAGAGAAGAGGAAACTTTGAATGCACGATACTTCCGGTAATGGGCGAGGACCGACCACGAGGCGCGAATAAGCTCAATTTCATGGTTTTTCTCCCTTTTTTTCTCTCTTTTTTTTTCTTTTCTTCATTCCCATTTCCTCCTCATTTCTCCATTGGCAAAGTTCGATCCGATCAATGATCGATCTGTGCGAGGGAAGCGGCTGCTGCATCCGCCTGCATATTCAGATACCTAGTCCTATCATGGCCGAGAATTAACAAATGGTGTTTGGGTGTCGGGTTCGCAGCTAATTCGGAATTATGCCGATAATCGTTGCTACTAATACCTTACGGATTAGTAATGTTAAGCGGTAGGGGTGACTAATGTGCTCGATGTGAGAGAACGAGACCGCCTTTGGGGTAGAGCGGGTTTAAGACCGATTTGGACGTGTCCGTGCCGTGTCAGTGACGAGTCCGTGCACTGATGGGAACAACGGATTTTTCTGATTTTTATTACGCTATTTCTACGTTTCCGTATCCCTGCTGATTATGGAATTAATACGGAAATGTATGAATTCATTGTTAACCTTTGTACCTGCCCGAATATTAAGGTTGTTTATTGCAACGTAAAAATTATTTTGATATTTCCGACACATTGAAATACAAATGAATGCTGATACCGTATACACCGGCTCTCGAAATGAACATCGGACAAATGTGGTGTACAAGTTTCAGAGAGCTTGTATACTGATTCTCGACCACATATGTGAGAATTCGTCGATAATTGTGTATTGTTTATGAAGGTACTCTAAATAAGCAAGGGTATGTACAATGGCGGGCATGAATGCCTCCCCTGCAGATACGGTATCGCCTGTGCAGGACGGGAGGGCATTGATGTCTCCCAGTGTACGACTGACGTAAGACATGTACATGAAAGCTCCGCTACATTTCTACCCTGATTTTCAATACCGTACACGTTAACAATTATATGTATTTTGAGAAAAGCGCGTTGTACATTTGTACTAACATTTGGGTTGGTTTATTTTCTCAGCTTACCATTTTATTCAACATTTTCAGTACAAATTCTTACGTAGAAATGGTCTTCTTCGAAATGCAACATACATTTGTATTCGGAAATGTTCGAAACATCGAAACATTAATAACAATATACCCCAGAAACACAAATCGAGTTATCCCGTGGTTCGTGTCAATTATTTTATTTGAAAAAAAAGAAAAACTCACTTTAAGAACCGAAAATAATAAATTTAATAATAATGTTCATAACTTCTTCACAACGTTGAGGTAGTATCTCTGTCCCTCCGTTGAAAAAAGGTAATACGGCAAAAGTTTGAATATTTCAACGGTACAAACTTATGGACCAACCTTATAAGTTTATGCAGTTGTTATCGACATCAGTGCACCAACGTATATTGAACGGATACGGTAGGGATATATACTTGAATCGGTCTTTAATAGGTACACAATTGTGGTGGATTCGTTGTCGCAGGTGTCGTTTAACCGAAACTCGGTTATATGCATGTTAGAGAATAATGGAGTTAATTAAATTAATGAATCAAAGGAGAAACGAAACTGTAACTGTAACGGTGATTCAATCTTCGAGGAATTGCTTCTGGTGCGAACGAAATATCCGTGTTGATATCCCTAAGATACGTTCGAAGAAATTCGCCTTAACACACTTTTTCAAGCGTTTCGAGATGGTTTTTATCAAATCTTCGAGCTCGTATTTTGATGGGCGACATCGACGATTTAATCGAACGCTTTGTCATGAACAGTTTTCCTTTTCAATCGAGGCGTTTCCTGTTCGATTATCCGAAAAGAAACACGTATGGGTAGGGATCAACCGATACCATTAAACAATCGATAATTTAACTCGTAATATGCATCGAAAAATTAACTTATTGATGCCTACTCGTATCGAATCAAAATAGATACAAATGTATACGGCAATGTCGAAAGATATAGGAGAACGTTGTTGCACGCGAATTTTTATATCAGTCAATATACATTTTTGTCATTAAAGGAACCCTCGCGTCGAAACTCTCGGAAAATATGTATTTTTCATAAATCGGTAAAAAGAAAAGTATACAACATAAGGAGAAATATTTCAAGTGCTTTAATTATATATGTTTAAATTATTCGATAAATAATTAGTCTGCCTTGATTTAATCCTTTTTCCCTTGAAATAAATAACATTTAATTTTTATACATGAAACAAATAGAAAGAAAATTTACTTTTTTCTTTTCGAAAATGTTAACACGAGAGTTCCTTTATTGCCATTAGACAATTTGACGTTCGAGTAGGTGCAAAATAAAAATTAATACAAAATACCTCCTTATCGTGTCTACCCTGTCCGATTCGATACGCGTACTTTCCATCGATATCGAGTAAGTATCGATGCCAAAAGTACTTGGTATTGAAATGAAAGTACCGAAACGAAAATAATAGTATTTCGATTGTCGATTTATCCCTACCCGAAAACGCAAAGCTTTGGACATTCGATCGGTTGGAAAAAACGTCTTCCCGTATACGTACTTCTTCACTGTGGTATATACGCAGAAAAATATTTGGCAGAATCAATGAAACATTTATTGTTTTCGACCATAAAATATGGTTATTACATGGGCAACCAAATATTTGATTGACACGACAAAATTCCGTATCAATGACATTCGGTTGATTACGACATTGCTGTACATCGCAGCTGTGGGATTTAATTAATTTCGTTCGTCGACTAAGCTATTTTCTAGAATTAACGAAAACGTTCTAATCGAAACAAACGAGCCAAAATGCAGTCGAACGATTCTCTTCGGTGAACGAAATTTCATTTTTCTGCGTGTACACGATTGGTACTTAAAACAAATTTGCACAGTGGTGTAAATGCTTTAAAGTGATTAACTCGAACGCTCGACTTATGGAGATAAAGAGATACGATTAACTGTGATATTGTGTTGTCGAGATCGCGTATTAAATTTAACGCATTACGAGCGAAGCTATTGAACCACTGTTCCATTGTCTTTGTATCGGATTCTTTACGTTCGCCTTAATGTGTCCTGAAAATTTTTTAATATACAAAACTACGGCGATCTTTGCGCACTCTTCTCTCTTCTGTCGAAGACTTCCGGTGCGTTGTGTTCTCCATTAAGGGGATATGAAAGTGGTATCTGAGATGTTCATGAAACTTCTATGAGCTGGGTATACCGAATCGTTTCAAACTTTACAACTTTGAATATGGAGACCCTAGGTGTATATCCTCAAACTCGCGAAATTTTATGTTTTATCGAAAATTTCGAAAATGTCTATAGACAAATTGTCTTAAAATTGAAATTTCTTGAGTGTCAGGACCTTCCTTATAGCCTCTAGATCACATTGTGAAGTTTTAAATGATTCAATTCACCCATTTTGGAGAAAAGTTTCATAAACGAGACCTTTTTTGTGACGTCACTTTTACATCGCCTTAACCCACAGTGGTTACGTTCCACCATTGATCTTTTGAGATGACGTGCTTTTTATCAATGATTCCATAATCGAGATAAACTTGCGTGTTGGTCTTTGGTCGAATGCGAGGTCTATGAAAGCGCTTAGGCGATTTGCACTGTACTTGGGTTACCTGCAATTCAAGAAGGTTAATTCATTGCATCGCGTTTGGTAATTAGAATTCTCAACAGTAGTCATGTGACGAGTCGAATGTTCCATCAACTCGAGGTATAATAGATAAAAATAACTCGAGGTTAACGAGTTTAAATATTCTACTCGTCGAATTACTCTGCAAAAGCCATTGCGAATCTTAATTTCGAGGTAATTGTCACTGAGAGCTGCGACATTATGAACATCCTATTGTCTTATTTTTCTTTGGTACCATTGTTGCCCACCAAACACAATTCCGTAACCAGAGATCGGCACTAGTGATATTTTCAATGATATATTTCACTCTACTGATTAGCTAATAATGAAATTAAAAATATTTTTAATCACTTGATTAATCGGTAATCTGCGATGACACTTTTTTAATCGTATAATTAATCGATAATCTGGGGAGATATTTTTTTTTTATTACTCGATCAATCAGCAATCAGTGATATACATTTTTCAAATAACTTATTAATCGCAAAATATGTTGGTACCGTGTTATGTGTTAATAATATGTAACTCCAATGCTGACAGATTTGTAACAATGATACGGAACGGTAATAATTCGATATTATATAATATCAGTGTATCTTTCGAATAACTCATTATATTATGCTATTTCTATGTTATATAACTATGACATAGTGTGTTTGTTGGGTGGACATTTTTACTCTGAGCAAAAAAAATCACTTTCCATGAAAAAGAATAGTATTCTTGGAACAAAAAGATGTTTACTTGCTATTATTGATAAGATAAATCGTAGGGTTGATTGATTGAAATTAACATAAACTTCAACCGACATTTAATTGTCTTCAGCTTAGCTTCACCAAGCTTTTATTATTCATTGTCGTTAGACCGTCTATATATAAACATCTTGGAATAAAAAAATTGATACACTTCAAAAAGTGAAAGACTGAATGAAATAATATTTATATACCAATATAGAATTTCACGTTGCCTCTGAAAACTTTATCGCTTAACGGTGAACAAATTCTTGCGACCACTTGGAACAATGTTTGTTCGTTATTATTAATTTTTTATATCAAGTATTAAGTTATTCGAGTTAAATACAGCACTTTATCCATAAAAGTTATTCAACTTTCATTAAAATTGTCAATACCTGAAGCCAGCTTTGTACGTGACATTTTGTTATCATGAGATACTTATCACTTGATATAAAATCTTGGTCGTGTAATGATTCTTACAAAATCAATTTCTCCGGAGCCAGGAAATTTATTTAGCAAGAAGTATTAGGAATTATAATACCGCAGGTAATTAATTTCACCTGGAAAGTTTTCGCTCAGTGTACTCTTTTTATGGGATCTCTTCGCGGCTCTTGGTGAACAAAACTTTCGTGGCCTCTGGTTATGGTTAACTATAATTACAGCTACCAGCTTTTGTCAGTTGACGTTAAACTAACAATGATGAACCGAGCAAGAATAACTCAAATAACTTGGCCTCGCGGCACAGCTTTTCATAGTTTGCGGCAAACTTTTATAGTATCACGTGGGAGTTGCACACACACGTGCGTTATACGAAAGAGCTATCGATCAATCGTTAAAAGCGCACAACTCGATCATAAACATCATTTGACATCGTAACTCCTCAGTACTTCAGAAAGTTCATGAGTTCTAATGACATGCCTTAACCCGAGTCCAATTGAGAATCGCCGTACTACTATTACAGTACGAAACGTAATTTCTACGTGCACTTACCATACGAACGATTGTACTCAGATAGAAATTCATGATCACCATATGACGAGAAAAATCGATTTACAAAACAATTTGCTGCATGAAATGTCTGCAATGTATGTACAAAGGCGGACATGAATGCCTCCCCTGCAGAAAAGGCATCGCCTGTGCAGGATGGGAGGGCATTGATGTCTCCCAGTGTACGCATATTACACAATAAATTAGAAAAAAAATTCCCGGTTAATTTGTCATAAATGGTTGCAGCAATATATTAACCGAATACTCGAGTCATGTGCCAGTTATGCCATAATCGACATTTATCAGCTGATAATTTATGGGAAATTAAACGGGAGCATTAACATCATCCCATGACATTAATTTCCGGATATTGTATGAAGTTAGATAATGCTACAAATCTGAGCCAAGTATGACTTTACTCAATTTCCCGTGACTCTGCAATTGTTTATCAGCAATGCGTGATATAAATTTAGCTATACATATGCGTACAAACATTGAGACATTGCATGTACTTAAATTTGTTTCATATTTAAGTATTTCTTGTTTATCATTGTAGACTGCGGATATGAGTTCTTTGGAACTCATATCTGTAGGACTCATAAACAGCGCTCTAATGATTAATTTCATGACTTTTTATTATGCAAATTTCATGCAAATTTTGCGTCACTTTTACTCTATCTGGGTACCGTAAAATGCTTCCAATCCAAGACTCGATATTTTCTTTCATGAACAATTAGATAGCAGGAGATTCGGATCTCGATTGAGGGCTGTGGTTGTGCCAGTCTGGGTGGAAAAAGTTGATATAGATTATGCATAAAAAATATATATAATTTCATATATAGAAGTTAACGCGATCCATCGTCATCGGCCCACCTGGATTCACATTTTTCCTTCGATCATCTCACATTGTCTTAGCGCATTCGGTGAATATCTTCCCTAATCACCTTCTTTTGTAACCTCAGTTTAAGCCGTTATCGAAACGTAATCGAAGCCTGTTGCTTGTTTGCCACCTTGGACCTGAAAGAGCCGCACGTTGTTTAAATAGATTTCATATGTGAAATATATATATATATTTTTATGAATAAGGTTAGCGGAACATATGCATATATTCCATATATATAGATCGTAATATACTTAGGACATACATAGATAATATATGCATAATTCTGATTACGAGACGTTATCACTTTATTCCACTTGGGAAGTAGCATGTAGAGGTGCTCCTTAATTAACGAGGAACTTTTTCTTTTCTTTTTTTTTTCTTTTTCTTGTACAAATTCTTTGCGCTTCTTTTGTACTTGCAGGCGCTTTGAACTTATCGTTTGCATTTAGAATAATCTCGAATTATCAAGAGAATATAATATAAATATATATGTATTAAGTAACGATTGCCGCTACAATTTCTTTTATATCGATCGCGCATTAAACTTTCAAAGTGCGAATCAGTCGAGCGATTTACTCGATTTTGACGGTGTGCTTCTCAGTTCTTTTTTCTTTTTTGTTTCTTTTTTGCATATCGTTGGGCGGCATCTTAGGTGGTGCGGAATGAATAAACGTGTTATATTGTAACGTCGAGACGATTTTCAGGGTATGCCACGAAACGCTCCGTTGCTCGGAATAAAATTGCAATTGCAATTGCGACCCAGCAACGACGGCGTTTCGTCATCGAGACATTTAGTTAGAGTAATAAAGAGATCTAATCGTTTTTAAGAATTAAGCACTCGCGTGACCTTTCTATCTTTTGTAATCAATATTCCGAATGGTTTTAGAGTGGGTCTATTTCCTTTTTTTTTTATTATTATTAATTTCGTAGGGTTTAAAGATTCCTCGTGTCACGTCATATTAATTTATATCGTTTAACGTTATTTTAGGGTCTGCTTGGGAAGTGCGTTTTAGATTAAGTGGGCTTAGAAGAGAATGAAGAGGTATAGGAAATTAAGAAACTGGGTAGAGTTTCGCGCCAAATATGTATAGGCGCGAAACACTAATGGAGTCATTATCTGCGATGTTTAGCCTGGCGAGTCAAACTAGACAAAGAATGTCGTTTTTTGAACCTCTTGAATGAGTAATGTCAATTTTAATCAGGTCCTCGAGATTGGAATATTTTTCTGCATTTTTTGAGCTACCAATTAAACCGATTGGTACATTTAATACAGAGATGTACAATTTTAAATGCTTCACTTCGTCTTGGTTGCTCGACTTTTTTCTGTCGTATCTGCTTTCGAGGATGTTTCATTTCATATTTTACGCGGAATATAAAATAAAGAGAAATTTTTAAATGTTACAAAAGGACCTATTTGTGAAGACGAAAAGTTTGTAATTTTTTTTTTATCTACGGTGTAATTCTAGGACAAATTTAAAACAAAAATTGAAGGTGGTTTTAGAAACTATGTATAAAAGATTATATAAGAATGGCACGGATTTTTGGCGAAAATTTCCGTTCAATGTCATCAACGATTAAAGTGCAAACAGTGTTGAAAAAGTAATTTTTATTGATTTATTTCACTATAATCTGAATTTCTTTTTCTTCCAAAATCCGTGCTATCGGTTCTTAAATAATCTTTTCCAGTTTCTGAAACCACCATAACTTTTTGTTTCAGACTTATCCTGGAATCGTGCAAATCGTGAAAATAAAAAACAATCAGAAATTCTCAGCGCCTACATAAGTCCGCCATTTATCAACAATTTAAAATTAGTTTATTTTAAATGCTCCATTGAATATCAAATACAATAGCCACGTGAGAAAATATTTCCAATACCTTTTTTGTTTTCTTTTGAACCTACTTCGATTAAAATGCAATTCACAATCAGTAATTCCTTTAAATTGAGAGAGTCAGATTAGGTGATAAAGAT